GCAGGAATCTGCTGCCTGAGGACTGAATAAATCAGCAGCAGATCAGGCTGCTGGAACATGATGGGACTGACGAACAGGAGAAAAAGACGTGGCCACTTATGAGACGGATGAAATCCAAGCTCCTTGTGTACCTACTTTTCCTGCTATTGTAGCTGCATCCACTGGACAGTTCAAGGCACAGATAATGCCTGCGGTGACTGATGCAGTCCCTGAGTGCCATCTTCCCTTCCACCTTCCTGCACCTTTTTTGCCAAGTGCTGTAATGTTAACCTAGGATTTCAGAACTGTGGATGTTAAAGGATAGGGCCAGAGCTCCAAAATTAATAGTAGCTACAGACATCCCATATTCATCAGTGTTCTGGGCCAAGAAGGCTTGCATCACAAGAAGACTGGTCCCGTTCCAGTTTGCAAAGCCACAAGTATTCCAGAAACAGGGACATACAGTAGCTATGTGGATGCCATTGTTAGCATACCCAGTACAGTTTTGGAAGCCTGATAACTGTTTCATCATTGTTATGTCAGTGAAACCAGTGCGTAACAACCTGATGGAAGCACAGTGGTAGTCACTTTGCTAATGTTCATTGCTGTAACACTGACAGGTTTGGTGTCAGTGATGAGTTACAGCAGCACAACACCTCTTAACTCTGGATGAAGGATTACCCTTAAACTGGTTCTTTATGAGGATTTGGCTGTAATCTAGTTTCCAAGATCTCAAACGTTTCATTTTCTTTTCCTGCACTGTACTGTCTTACCTTCCAGACCTACTGTTTGATTTCAGAAATATGAAAATGTTGTGTATTTAATTCATGGAAATATTTAAACTGTGTCCTATACAGCAGTAGTTTTCTATGTCAGACCATCTGTGGTAACTGAAAGTCCACCTTAGTTGAGATAGAGGAAAAGGTCTCATGATCATTACAGGACTAGTGGGCACGATAGATACGGAGTCAAGGACAGGTAGGCACAAGTAATTGGAACTCAGAACATGAGGATATTAGAAATGCTGGACCAAAGCAAGAACAGTTTTGACTATTTGCAGGATTCTGTACCAGTTCTTATCATGGGGACCAGTCGCTAAAAGAAAAATAAGCTGGAGTTGTAGCTTTGACTCCGTTTGCTGGAGTTACATAGATATTGCATATATTGAAGTTAGTGTTAGTGATTATTAATGCCATGTACAGATAGAACTGTACTTGTATAGATAGAACTGTACTGTCATTTCTCATTACTCACCAGTTGTTAGCAGCTTTAAGGATTAGAGGAGGTCATGATGGTGCTAAATAGGTTACATATTTATGTGGACTAATAAATAGAGGCTCCTAAGTTAATTCATTGTTTCTGTTGACTGAACTTGCCTTGTGTGAGCTAAGTGGTCAACCCAAAACCAATTGCAAGCCAAATGTGATGTGTCATTCCTGTGCTTAAATTCAAAACATCAATCTTGAAATGCCTGGTTTGCTGTTGGAGAGAGCAGCTGTAGCTGCCTGTTAGAAGACAAGCATAGCCCAGCTTTCTGCTGTAGTGTAAAAGCTGGAGGCAGGAGTCTGCCAGGCACTGGAACCTATGGCACTGACAGGAGCTGGTGGCCTCCGTGCTGACCACAGGACAAGGAGAAATGGACACACTGTGCTTCTGAACCTGGGCAAGAGGCCAGCATTAGTGCTGTTGTCAGTGACAACAAATGACCATTCTTTCCCCACAGTGGTGCTTTACTGAAGACTGTCACCTCATAGGGCAAGCAAGTTAGACCAGGTCGTTCAATGTGTGCTTTTCTGCTCCCACCAGTCTCTCTGATGATACAGAATTGGGTCATCTGCCTTTGACCCCACAGCCAGAAGAGGCCAAAAGAGCTTCACCTTAGATTACCTAATGCTGTTGTGGTTGGGAAGTTTTTTTGAGATGTAAGACTTGTTTTTTTGCTTCTAGAAAGAGTCCAGTGCAGGGCTCTAAGATGATTAGAGGAATGGAGCATCTGTCCTGTGCTGAAAGGCTGAGAGAGCTGGGTCTGTTTAGCCTGGAGAAGAGGAGACTGAGGGGGAATCTCATCAATGCTTACAAATATCTAAAGGGTGGGTGCCAGGAGGATGGGTCCAGTCTCTTTTCAGCAGTGTCCAATGACAGGACAAGGTGCATTGGGCACAAGTAGAGCACAGGAGGTTCAAACTAAACGTAAGGAAAAACTTTTTAACTGTGAGGGTGACAGAACACTGGGACAGGCTGCCCAGAGAGTTGTGGACTCTCCTCTGAAGACTTTCAAAACCCACCTGAATGTGTTCCTGTGTGATCTACTGTAGGTGATCCTGCTCTAGCAGCAGGGTTGGACTAGATTGTCTTCAGAGGTCCCTTCTAACCCCAACCGCTCTGTGACTCTTTCCAAATCAACAAGCATAATTGGGGTTGCAGACACCTTCAAACCTCTTAGACACCTGCCCCCAAACACGTGGGACATTTACTGCTTTCTTTTTGTGAGAGGCCCTACCGGCCTGCTCTGAAAATGCCTGCCAAATCAGGCACCACAAGTGGGTCTGAACAGTATCAAAAGTTACCAGGTTTTGTGCATGGCCACCTGCAGAAAATTAACATGCTTATAAGGTTAGGTACTGAATCGAATTTTTTGGCATCTCACTGGCACCTGAAAGCCAGACTTTAGTCACTTTGGATGAATTAATCTCACCTGTCTTTAGACATCCCCAGTGTAGATAGCGGTGTCAACCTTTGTCACTGCAGCGTTGCTTTGTATTCACTGCAAAGAAACAGGCACATTTAGGGCATGATTCATCTGACCTACTTTATGCATTTACGGGAAACTCATCCTTATTATGACACTTTGGTGTTTAAATCCTTGTGATTCCACAAGCGTGCTGCCTATTGGCATCTTTAAAATGATTTGTGAATACTTGTGGTGTTGGAGTAGTTGGAAGGATTCAATTAGTAGCCTGTCAACAACGTGTTCATAGTCTCCTGCGGTGCAGAACCTTTCTTTGTGTGGAAGCAATTTCTTAGAATTTGATTTTCTGTGGAATTTAGCAGAGGCTGCTTGTGTTGGTTGGAAATTCTGACATGACTCTGGCTGTTGTCTCCTTTTGCTTCAGATAAGCTTCGCAGAAGCATGCCTAACCTCGCTCGGATGCCAAGTACCCCCACCATTACCAGCAATGCTGGCTTTGCTAGTTCACCAGTCACTGTGAGGAACAGTCAGAGCTTTGACTCCAACTTGCATGGGGCAAGCAATGGGATTGCAAGGATGCAGTCGTGTAGTAAGTACCCGTGTTCTTTGACTGTGTGCCAGGAATCAGTAGAGTGGGAAAATACAGGTCCCAGTCACTGATCCTCTGCTTGATGAAAAATTAAAAGCAGACTGTGTTACTTTTGCACCAGCTTGTAATACAGCTAAGGATTTTGAGTGTTTCTATTTCAGAAAGCAAATTCTGCTGACCTGATGCGTTGCAGAGACTTTCATCATCTCCTATATTTTTTTTTCTTTGCCCATTCATTTTGCACCAGCTTTAAAATTATAAATAGTAGTAGTACTGTAGAAGCACCAATAATGCAGTTAATTCACATAAGCTTACATTTTTTAGTTTTGCTACTAGAATGGAAAACTGCTTTTCTTGATAATTTATACAATGCTGGTTTTTACAGTACACTGTGTAAATACTAGCCTAAAATACATGACCTCTCTCTTACTGAAGCTGAGCCACTTTATGAGCAAATGTGGTTAAAAGAGGGTTATATCTTCAAGTATAATATACTTGTTGAGTGGGGAAATTAAAATGATGCTGTAATTAGTTTAGTTTAGGTGACTTCTTGATGGGGAGGTGAAGGAAGTATTGATCTAGTTGATGTTGAATTATTAATGTAGAATGTGAATGAGATAGATGAAGATCCAAACCCATGTTTTCTAGCATAGTGATTGAGGTACTCTGAAAGAAATTGAAAATGTGGGTTTCATTTGACACAGGCAGGAGAAAGGATTGAACTTAGGCCTTCCATGTCCTGTGAGGTTTTGGAAGGAGAGAGACAGAACATTTTTCCTGTAGGTGTCTTGTTAAATTGCTTAAATTTTAATTTCAATTAATTTAAATAATTTAAACTTTATACTTAAATATTAAAATGTTTAGATTTTTGTTTGGTTTATTATCACCTAATAATAATAATTTGTTATTAAACAATTGTAATAAGATTTCCATAGCAATATATTGCCAGCATTGTTTAATTGAATGACACATCTGTATTTTCTCCTGTGTCTTTCGATGGATTTAAGATGTCCTTTTTCAAAGACTTGAAAAAGAATTGGCCTGTGTGCAGTATGTTACTTTGTGCTTCAGGCTTTTGACAGTTTGATTTGAGTATGTGGAGTCTGAAGCTGATCTGTCTTATGTACGCCAGAGGGCAGGATTGTGTTGAAAATCTATATAAGCTTCTGGAACCTGAAGCATTGATTTTAAGCGATAGTTTACATAGCATCAGCCTTGGAATACGTGGGTATATTTGAGACCTTTTAATAGGCTTTTTGTTGTTTTTATACAAAAAGCTTAGACTTCTGAGATGTTTTATAATGCTTTAAAGCAATATTCCTTAAACAACATGTGGTTATCACAAGCAACCTTACAAAAATATAAATAATCTAACAGTAATTAACTTATAGTTTCAGAAATTTCTCCTGCTTCAAGCTTTAATTGCATAGGTAGAATTAGTTTGCTTGTAATGGTTAATGAAACCTCTGAGGGGAGAAAGAAGGATGAATATGGTGTGGTATTTTTGTTGAGGATGAGTGTGGAACATGGTATTGTAGTTCAGTGTGGTGTTGCTGGATACAGTATTGGATTCAAGGGCTTTTCCAGCATTTTATAATTAGCAAGTAAATTGCATAATTATGTGTTTAGCCCTATTCAGATCTCTCTAGAAATGAGTGTTACTGCCTGGCCTTGTCTGTTGCATACTGACCTTGTTATTTCTGCTCTTTGCAGTTCCATCACCAGGACAGCTTCAACACAGAGTTCACAGTGTGGGACATTTTCCAGTGTCTGTCAGACAGCCTCTCAAAGCTACTGCCTACGTAAGCCCAACCGTACAAGGTAGCAGTAGTAGTAGTAGTAGTAGTAGCAGCAGCAGCAGTGTTCCAGTGTCCAATAACTTGCAGCTATATTCTAACACTGGGATCCCAATGCCAAACAAGCCTGCCAGTCAAGGGATAGTAGGGCGCAGTGCTCTTCCAAGACCATCGCTGGCCATCAATGGGAGTGGCATCCCCAGAAGTAAAATTGCACAGCCAGTTCGAAGGTAAGAGTTAAACAGGCATCTCCTTTGTGGATGGCTTTAATTTATATTATGAATTTGGTTTTGTTCTTTTCTCCTGACTAGGAAGCTGGGCCATAAAAGTGAACAATTTCTAGCTCCCCACTGCTGAGTCACTGACTGGGTAAAGATTTCTCTCCAGAAACAGTGATGGACAATGCCTGCTGGTAGTTTATAGTAAGCTCTGATAATCATAGATTCATAGAACGGTTTGGGTTGGAAGTGACCTAGAAAATCATCTAGTTCCTATTCCCATGCAAGGCACGAACACCTTCCACTAGACCAGGTTGCACAAAGCCCTGTCCAACCTGGCATTGCACACTTCCAGGGAGGGGGCATCCACAGCCTCCCTGGGCAACCTGTTCCAGTGTCTCACCACCCTAACAGGAAAGAATTTCTTCTAATGTCTAACCAAATTGATAAAACGTAATGACATATAAATAAGAATGGATCACCATGTATCAATAAGAAGTAAAAAAAAAATATGGAAATCTTACATTGTTGGCATATATGACTTATATTCTTCCAGACTTGTGCCTGCTGCTGTTTCAAGCTTACAGGATGAACACATTGTAGAGTACCTAAACAGAAAGAGCTGCATTTCTGTTGTAAAAACCAGTAGACTGTAAAATGCAACTTGTGACATGACAGCATTGTGGGGAAGGTAACATCCTGGATAGTATGGTCTTGAGTTGAACCTGCATCTGTTCAACTCCAGCTGGGAGGTAATAGGGAAATTCCCAGAGGATTTAATCCCCAGATGATTTTTTTTTTTTTAATTATTTTTTTTTTGGACAATCAATAAAATAAGCTTGAGGAAATAAAGTGTTTTAATCACCTTATCACAGCTGGGAGTTAAACTCTTTAGCTGTATGTTCTTTGTTTAACAGGTGATTAAGTTTCTCCAAGAGAGACTTGTATCAACTTCCGTCAGCTTTTCCAACTATCTCTTCCCGTTGCCATACGTCCCTTCTCTTGTGAGGGCCTGCTGAATGACCACCTGGTTATCTGCTGGGTGAACTGTCACTGCTTAGCTCCCACAATTTTTATGCTTTTTACTAGATACTTGCTAGATCCAGAATAAACTCAATTGCTCACGTTCTCTCTTTGGTTGAGTTACTTAGGGATTAGACCAATGTGACTGACAAAAGATTTTGACCAACTGTGGTGAAGCTTTGATACAGAGCTGTCAGGTTTCTTCTTTGATGAAGACTGTACTGTGAGATTTCTATTGTAACCTCCTTTACTCTCTGTTGGAACTCTCTGTTAAGAGATCTTTATATGAGGGTTTTCTTTCTTTTCTTTTTCCTTTCTTCAACTTCATGTTCTTCTCCAAAGCTCTTAAATCTTTCATGGCAACATGGAAGAAAGACAGGGACTTTCTGGGGTGTGAAGACCTGTCCCTCACTATTTCATAACTTTTCATACAACAGACAATATTTAAGAAAAATTAAGTTTCAGTGAGAGGGTGAGATACTGTACTCTCAACACTGTTTTTATTAGAAGCTGGTTCAAATCAGTCACAAGGCTATTTGTAGTCCGCCTTTAAATGTTCATTAGCAGCCTCATATGTTGCTGTAAAGCCAGACCAGAAATCCTCGAAGATAGATGGTCTTTGCACCATGGGAATGGCAAGTTTATAGAACTCCAAAAGCAGATTGGAGCTCAGCCTATTGTTTTTTAAGACTCTTGTTTCATTTTATTTATTAGTTTGGAAAGTAGGGCAGTTTCAGTTCATATGGAATTTTCTTAGAAAGAAGTCAGCCATCAGCTTAGATTTGCTCACAAAGCTGTGTCTTTATACTTATGGCCAGACTGTAAGGTGGCCAAGTTATTGGTATTGTAAATACTTAAACAAGGTTGTTAGACACTTCTTATAAGGCCTGCTTTAGGGAACTTCAGTGTTTACTGCATGAGATCAAGCTGAGGAGAGGGAGAGCGTTTGATAATTTGTAAAATAAAATTACAATAGCCAAGATAACCAACTTGGCTAAAGATTAATTACTTTTCTCCTTGTCAGCATTTTACCCTGTTAGGACCTGTAACAGTAATGAGATTTCATTAGAGATGGCCTTGATTTCACCATAGGTCTTTAGGTTTGCATTAGCATGGAGCCAGAAATATGCCAGTGATGTTTCCAAGCAAGCTACAAAGCCAGTGTCACTGCAAAAGTAAATTATGTTTGTTACCTTGTTTTTTCACATGAAATATGACTTCCTTGGTCTTTTTTTGTCATTCATTTCATACAGTTTTCTTCAGCCTCCAAAACCACTTTCGTCACTCAGCACGATGCGGGATGGGAACTGGAGAGACGGCTGCTACTGATGAGGGATGCCCAGCAACAATGGAAAAGAAATAATGTGGATTTCATTACCCAGCTGGCTGGGTAACAATGATTTGGGAAAGGAGGGTCATGTGGTATTACTTCCCCTGGGATTTTAATATATACCCATCCAAAATGCAATGTCATTTAAAAAAAAAGAGCGTCTTCTCAAATACTAAGTATTGCACTTAATCAGTTACCTGAACAACTGCATAGTTATCAGACTAACAATGGCAGTGTTGGCATTTGGAACTGAAGAGAGTTACATATGTGCAAAGTACCAGAATATTTCCTTGGGAAAAACTTGGAGATAATGCTTTTCAGGCAGCTTTGCCATACTGAAATTCTAAGATAATTTATTCAGTGTAAAGACATAATGCATTTTACTTGGAATTTGGGGGGGACTTAAGTATGTGCTTGAATTTTTTTCTAGTGTTTCCAGTACATTTTTATTTTGTATACTTCAGTTCATTTAAACTGGCTTGAACCTTGAACAACAGAGAGATAATTTAACTTTTCTGTGCCATAAATAATATTTTTGGGGTAATGTACTTTTTAAGTGCTAGGAACATGTCTTACAAAATCGTACCATTGGCAATACAAAGCTGTATGTTTGGGTTAGGGAAGGACACAAAAAAAGTAGCATTCACTGGAAATTGCCATCCAGCTGGGTGGGTGTGGTTTTGTTAAAGTCTTTCACCATTTGTTCAATTGTTAATTTATTGTCATAGTGTTTTGTATTTTAAATGGCAGCATAAGTCACATTGCACTTACAACTACACAGTGATCTCTAAAAGTCCAGTTGGTTTTCAGTACTTTATTACAAAGGAAAAAAAAAATTGTAATGTTTTATTAACAATTGCTTATGGAAAAATGAGTTTTAATGTGAATAAACCTTTTTGATAGATCTTTTACAAAATCCAATTGCACTAATCAATGCTTTCGTATAATAGCATATGACTTAATATTTGATTACAACTGTGTATACTGCTGTTTTGGAATGTTTCGGAAATAAAGAATCTATTTCAGCAATAAAGCTTTTCTTGAGTGTGCCATGAAAAACTTGTCAGAATTTAGCAACTTACATATGCTTAAAGTCCTGAGGTTTTATTATTTAGCTTTTAGATTATGCTGGATTTTTACAAATACTAACTTAAGTTTATCTATTGGTTTTTTTTAATTAAAATTTTATCTTAGTATGCTTAGAAAACAGGTAAGTATTACTTTTTATACCAATCTTACTATGATCTTAATTTATTTTTTTAAATTTATTGTTCAGATTCTGCAAGTGAAAATGTGACTTGCAGTAGAAAGTGGAGCTTGTGTACCAAGTGAGTCTTTCACCATGACTGAATTTGTTGGTGGACCTGCTTTTCTTAAAAGGGCAAGCAAAAATAAAAGGAAAAGCATTTAGTGGTGTGTAAAACCTTCATTACACTGAGAAGTGAATTGTATAGTAATGCAGTGATATCTCTGCACAGCTTAATATTGTTTAACAGAAATAAACTTTTTTTTCACAATTTAGTTCTTTTAAATGCAGTGAAAATCCATCTTTGAAAAAAAAAAAAAAAAAAAGCTGAACTGTTGAAGAGGTTATCAAGAGATATTCCAGCAAGGAAATTACCTCGGCACAGGTGAGTATTTCAGCAGAGTGTGCCAAACTCATCTTCATTGAAAAGTTCAACTGGAACAAATTACTGCTGATTGAAGCAGTAAGTTATTTGTGGACAGCATCTCTTGTCTTGAATGATTTATCTCACAGACTGATTGAGGCAGGGGGTGCAGTGCCAGCTTGAGGGGTGCTTTGCTATTTGTCTGTGACAAGGAGGGCTGCAGAACCTCCCAAATGAATAACCTCTCCTGACTTCTGGTGCTGGAGAACAGTCATGATCCTTTTCAGAAAAGATGGCTGGAGATGAGCAGCACTGATGAGCTTCTGCTCGTTGCTGGCCACAGCAGCCGTGATCTTGAGTTGGCTCTGCACTCGCTTCCCAAGTTGCCCAGAATTTTGTTTCTCTTCCTCGGTTATCTGGGACACCACAGCCTCCCATGACTGAGTTTTTATAAGAGGTAATACTGAGTTGTACACAGGAGGGCAGTATATACTTTGAAAATGTTTTCTTTTTGATAGCCAGCACTCTTTTTTTCCAGGTTTTTGGTTAGAATCCCGTGCCTATGCTTCTTCACTCTGTTGTTTTTGTATTATGACAACACATTAAAGGAAGGTGCCCAACTGTTTGTGATTTGGATTTTTAAAAGTCTCACTAGAAAATACATCGTGAATTAGAGAGTCAAGCATTTTGGGTATAATGAGCTCTTAGAGAAGATGCAGTTGGTTTTCTTTGTAGTTGTCCTGTTACCTTGCAATGCATTCTTTTGTCATGTCAGGATTTGGTAATTTTACAGCTTTGCTGTTTTAAATGTCATCATGCTTTAGGAGGAAACCCAAGGTGTGAGCAGCTTCATCTCTTCCCTGCACTCAAAGAAGGAGCGTCATGTGTTTCAGCCATGGGCTGTGTTAGTGCTGCTGTTTGTCTGTAGCTGGGGAAGCTGGCTGTCTCCCTTGAGATTAGCATCAACAAGCCAGATACTACTGGAAGCAAAATGTGTGGAATATACAACACAAAACCACTTCTGCCATGCTCAATTTTGTGAAAAGCAGAATCAACTCCAGGGCAATGGGAAACAGCAAGGTCATGCAGTTATCTCTAAAAATAAATACTCAACCTTTCACAACCAAAATTTCATTTGTAAGTGTAAGGGAACATTTGTGAACTCTCTCCCCACCCTGATTTTTCCCTTTCAGTCCATGAATACAAATCCACTCCTGTGTCCTTGTTGCTACATCCCAAAAATGACCTACCTGCTTCTGTCCAAACTGTAGACTTGGGCTCAGCTCTTGAGCTGAGGGCAGAGTCATGACCTCCAACCTTTTTCTCTAAGGTTTTTTCCCCCCCCCCCTCCTTTTTTTTTTTTTTTCCTCTGAGGATAAACCCTCTGCAGTCATTCAGCCCTATAACTTGGGCACTGTCTGGCTTTTCTACAACCTAATACTCTGGTTAAGTCCTGCATACTTTACATAATAAATTGAAGGTGCACATTTTATCCCTACTGACTGTGCATTCATCCATGATGTCCCCACCTGAAGTAATCTTTAGCCTTCTAGTCATTTCAGCGTGTGAGATCTGTCCAAACTATTCCTGTCTACCTGCTTTAGTGCTTTGACCACTTCTTGTGTACTGCCACTGATATCCTCCTCTCTGAGGAATACATTTAAAGAGTTGTTAACCTACAGACACAATCCTATCCCTCTCATTCAGTGTTGAATTAATGCTTTTTTACTTTACCAGGGGAAGTCCATCCTCAGACATTCAGGTAGAGACCCATGTTTGTGGCTATCTCATCTTGCACTGTGAGCATTATAGTGCCTAGTTTTGCCTTTTGGAGTGTGAAACAGACTTTAACACCTTTTATTCCTCATTAAAAATAGCTGGACTAGTGCAGTAATGTGTATGACTACAAATAAATTAGATAGTTGAGAAGGTAATTTACTGTTTTTTCTGAGATTGGTAGATAGCAAGGGTCTAGATCTAGGAAGGTGAACTGCATTCTTTTTTTTTCTTTTAAGGAAGTGCTAAGCACTTTTTTTTATTGATGTGTTACCTTGATCAAAGTATGCAATTGATAGTAGGCATAGATACATACATACGTACATACAAAAGCAACTGGTCACCTTGTTTTCCACTGGTTCATGTGAAAAGTTGATAGACTGGGCTCTCTAAATCATGTTTAAAAGTTTGGACAATGAACAGCAGTCAAACTTCACACTTTCTGTAGAGAAATGCTTAAAAAGTTTATGTCTTCTTTTGGCAATCTATCTTGACTTTTTAGAAGTGTAGGGAGGAGAGATGACCTGTCCTTTGCTAAGGTGCAGTGCTTAAAATGGGAGCAGCTGAGGGAGCTGCGGCTATTTAGTCTGGAGGAAAGGAGGCTGAGAGGAAACCTTGCTGTTCTCTACAACTACCTGCAAGGAGGTTGTAGAGAGACAGTGTCGATCTCTTCTCTCTAGTAACAAGTGATAAGATGAGAGGAAACAGCCTCAAGTTGTACCAGGGGAGGTTTAGGCTGGACATTAGGAAACATTTATTCACAGAAAGAGTTGTCAAGCACCGGAACAGGCTGCCCAGGGAAGTGGTGAAGTTACCATTCATGGAGGTATTTAAGACATGTAGATGTGGTGCTTAGGGACATGATTTAGTGGTGGACTTGGCAGTGTGAGGTTAATGGTTGGACTTGATGATTTTAAAGGTCTTTTCCAACCTAAACTATTTTATGATTTTGTAAAAAATTCCTAGGGCAGAGTCTGACTAGATGATCATACTCAAACATGTTGGTTTTGTTCTGTGAGCATAGCCAAAAGATAGTGTTCTGCCTTTTCAGACATGATCTTCATACTACGTGGAGCTCTTCCTTTGTACTCATGCATTTAGCATTATGTTTTTCTACTGTGATTATCTTTTGAGTTAAAAGAATGAAAACAGTATTTCTTCTTCATTTCTGATTGCCTCACTTACTCCTTGCCCCTGAGATTTCTGTTGTTCCCTTAGAAAAAGAAAATATTATCCCTTTGTCCTTGCAGCCAGACCTATAGAAGGAATGAGCCTGCGGCAAAATTCCCAAACTGAGCTCTAGCAATCCAGCCAACCTTCATACTTTGCAGTCTGCACACAGATGTTACTAAACAAGGTATATTCTCTGTATCCAAGACAGAACTTTTCAATAGTAGAAGCAGCAGAAAACATGATGTGAATATCAACTACAGTACATGTAAACTGGACTAATTGGAACCATTCTGTTGCAATATTAGAAAATAGAAAAGATACCTGTGTGTTTCTACCACTTTGCTTTTCATCTCTCCCTAAAGGTGGTTATAATAAGTTCGTTTTTGGATACCCTTGATAGGTGTTTTTTTTACTTTCTGATTATGAATTTCACTTTGCCA